ATTATTATTATTATTATTATTATTATTATTATTATTATTATCTCCTAAATCTGACAATGAAAATGGAAATCATAAGTTTCAAGTTAGCTCAGCCTTCCATGCTTTTGTATGTCATAAAATGAGTACCCAGCTTGTTGGGGACAATTGGCTTACCCATTGTGAACTGCTTGGCACTATAAAGCAGTATAGAAATGTAAGTGATGTTGCTATTACTATTGCTATTGCTATAAGAAAAGCTGAGGCTGGTGAAAGGAAAGAAAAGCTTTTAAGTAGAAAAAGCTTTTTTTTTAGTTAATTTTTATTTGATTTTAAAAATGTACAAAAATAGAATAAAAAGGAATTAAAATCATACAAAAACTTACAATTATCTCTCAGTGTTACTATAACTCACATATTGTGCATTGTTACAAAAATTACACATGTAGAAAACATCTCATTTAGAATTCCATACAGTTTAATTTATTTGGAACAAATCAGACCACAGAGACTGCTGGCCAATTGGGGGGGAGATTGCTGCTAATTTAGCATTAACATAATCAATAAGAGGAAGCCATTTTTCCTGAAAAGATTTTTGATTTTGTTGTTCTGAGTTATATTTCATAGTATCTGCTAATTTCTCCATAAACCATTGGTCCCAAATTCTTTTCCACCAGTTATCCAAAGTTTTTTACAAAATTAACAGGAAAGGAGATTAGAGATATAAATAATCCTTGCCTTAAGACCACCATTGAGATTTGGCAAAAATGGAAACATATCCTCTCCCCAGATTTGTCACCTATTTGCCCATTTTTATATCATCCAAACTTTTTTCATCCAGACAAATGTCTGCAGTATAAAGACAGGGGAAAAAAAAGGAATTTGTCAAATTAAGGATCTCTTTAGGAACAGTAATCCCAAATTGACTGAGGATTTAGCATCAACATTAGATCCACTACCAAATGTGTGGTTTCAATTTAATCAAATTAGAACTTTATCTTCTAATTTAATTCAGAATGGGGGAAT